GAGAGAGAGAGAGAGAGAGAGAGAAGGAGAAGGAGAATAATAAATTTATTGAGGGAAAAAAAGGAAGAGAAAGAGAAAACATAAAGAAAAAGAAAGGTAGAGATAAAGAGACATAGGCAGACAATATGAGTGCATGAATTTATAAGAGAGAGAGAGACTTGTTAATCTTTTTTAAAGGTCATAAAAAACATGCCCAGTCAGAAGTCATAGATGCTTTAGGTTGATGAATCATCTTCGTGAGATCGTAATAAGGAGTTGAAGAAATAGATCGAAAGACCCTGATGTTGGATAAGGAAGTCGTCCTTCACTCACGAACGACGAGAGATTCTTCTTTTCTTTTTCTTTTATATCTTTTTTTTTCTTTTTCTTCTTTTGTTTTTCAATCTCTCGTCGAAGATATCTTACTTAAATTCCTTTTTCCTTTTTTATTTTATTTTTATTTTATTTTATTTTATCTTTCATTTTTTATTCTTGGCGTCACGTTTCCGCGTGTTTCGGAAACACTTCTTTCGTTATTTCATTAAAAACTACGCGTTTGAAATTTTTCGTAAAAATATATGGCATACGTAACAGTTAATACGTGCAATTTATACGTAAATGTATGTAGGTATGTATGTACGTATGTTTGTAGGTACGTATCTATATATATATATATATATAACATTTTATTCGTTTTCGTATTTATTCAATTTCAGGGGCAGGTCGTTGAAATTACGATTCAAGAATAAAATAGACGTATGTATGTATGTATCCGTTGTAACATATACATCAGCGTTTCTCAATCCTTTTACCGTGGAACGATCGAATACGTTTTGTTTGTAACGGTACAGCGGCCCAAATGTTTATAATATAAAATTTTGAAGTAACCGATTATGATGAAATTACCGCATTATAATGGTCGTTGTATATTATTTTAAACGATAACGCGATCGTCTCATTATTCTCACTAATTCCCGATATAAAATATGAAAAATATATCGAAATTTCTTGAAAATTTTTAATTAATCAATCATTTTAATCGTTTTGTCGTAATACGTAAGCAGTAGGTATTCATTTCGCGGTTTATAAGCTGAGGAATATACGTTGGTATACACGTAATATTATATATACAGATACGTAAGTAGATACGTAAATACTTTCGAAAAATGCTCACGAGTTGCGTTCTAAACGTTTTATTTCGAGACGATTCTGGTTGAAAATTTGCCGTTCTACTCGAATATCGTGCGAACGGAAACCGTTTCGTGTTTCTTTGAGTGTTCAATGTTGGATGGTATGTGAACGGAAAAAAAGAGGAAAAAAAAGAAAAGAAAAAAAAATTACGTGAATCTTTGGCGAAGGAATCACAGCATATTTTAACTCCTTTCACTCTTCCTCCTTTGGTATTCGGACAAAAAGATTTCATTTTCTCTCTCCCTCTTTCTCTCTCTCTTTCATATTTTGATATATTCTATAATTTTTTAGTGAATCGTTAAAAGAAAAAAAGTACAAATAGAATTTTGATCTTTGATACAGTATATGTATATTAATATATTTTACATTATAATTGTAATTATCTTTTACTCATACTGTGTGTGTGTGTGTGTGTGTGTGTGTGTGTGTTGTAAATTCATATATGTTATCAACATTAATGATCAAAATTTAACGTTTGATCTTTTACAATAACATTTTATATATGTAACATTATAAAACAATGTTACTCGAACTATACTTTGCTGCAAGAAAATAATAAGTGGTTCAATGAAAAATTATGAAAAATTAATATTATTTTATTATTTCCACGCGTTTTGTTTCTCATTTGATTAATATATGTAAATCAATGTTCTTTTTGTTTTCTTAACTCTTATATTTATTCGTTTCATTTATATATTATTAAATGTATTTATAATATTTATAATATAATTTATAATACCTTTTAAAATAACCAAATTGTTCTGGAATTTTGAGACTTTTTAGAAATTATTTCTTACAAAATTTATAAAACACTTTATTTTATAAAGGCAAAAACATTTTCGACGAAATTAATAATTCTGACGTATGTATATTCTTTCGTCAATTTACATTCCGAAATATAAAAGGAACGATTATTTTCATCGTTAATTTCATATTTATTGTTGATCTTGTTAACCCTTTATAACTCGATTTTATTCGGCCTTAAAAAGAAAAAGTATATCTGGCAAAAATTACTTGTTCTTTTTTCTACGTAGAATATTTTGCCATTATAAAAAGTATTCCAAAAAAAAAAAAAAGAAAAAATAAATAAACTAAGTTGATTCTGAAATAATCTTGAATCTTTCCACTAAAACGATAAATACTATAATATTTTAATCTTTAAATCCGATAGCTCTTTTCTATAGAATTTTTCTTCGAAGCGCCATATTTCGAGATAAAAATTTATTACGTTATACTTTAAATACATTTGTATATATTAAAATATAGTATTATTATTATACCACATTAAGTATAACTTAGACTTCAAAAAAAAAAAGAACATTAAAGATTCGTATACGAATCGACAGATAATTTTATAGTGATAAAATGAAATAAAATTTAGAATATTTGAATAGATATACATATATATATATATATGAATTTAACTATGTGACTTCAAAGTTATATCGCATTATAAAGAGTTAAATTAACATTTTAATGGTTTATGATAGTATACATACATAAATATATGTATATATATATATATATATATATGCATATCATGCATACAATCGTTTTACCTTATCACTAATCGAAGAAATTTCCGGCACTCGAATAGCCAAGCTTTCATAAGAGAGAAAGGAGGTGGCAAGAAATAAACGTGGCAATAGATCACACTGCCTCCTTGAAGATAGAAGATGCCGAAGAAATGTCTTTCGTGACATTTTATCCGAGATCGAAGTTCTTCGCACGTGATGTGTTATACCATCAAAGAAATTTCAACGAACGGTAGATTCATATTTTCATTTCTCTCTCTCTCTCTCTCTCTCTCTCTCTCTCTCTCTCTCTCTCTCTCTCTCTCTCTCTCTCTCTCTCTCTCTCTCTCTCTCTCTCTCTCTCTCTCATTTTATATATATATAATGTTTCTTTGTTTTGTTTGAATCGTTTTTTTTTTTTTCTTTTTTTTTTTTTTTTTTTTTTAATATGACCGAAGAGTTCCACACGCTTTCAATATAGTAAAAGATTATTTTCAAAATTATTTGAAAAATCAAATAACTATACATATATTTACGTTTTATATTAAAATCTAAACTTACGTGTTATTATCCTGTCTTATTGTATTATTGTTCACTCTAAATTTTGACAATTTTCTTTCCTTTTCGTTTTTTTTTTTTTTTTCATCTTATTATTATTAGTTGTGAATGAATTAATATTGCACAGAATTACTTTTTTGACGAATTAAAATGTTTCAGGATGAAGAATAAAATTATTAATTTCCATTTAATTTTGATTTTGACTTTATGAAGGAGAATATGATTTCCTTATACGTTCGTATTCATTTTGTTTACTATGACTCATATAAACGCACGTCGTAACATGAAACTCGTCTCATGGATTTTCCTTATCGTTAAACGTACATATAAGATAAAATATATGTTTTTCTCGAATAATTGCGCGTACATGTGTACATATACAATAGATTAGGTCATTGCTCAACATATATACGTATGAGTGCATGTAGTATGTAGATATAGCAAACTTTGCTCTTACCGTATCGAGAATACATTCTCTTCTTCACAAGCATCTCTTTCACCATACGATGAGAGGTTTTTATCCATCGTTACAAATCAACTTTGTAAAATTCCTACAAAATATTTTTCCAAGGACACGTGACAGGTACACGTTATATACGATTAATTAATTATTATCGAATTAATCGTATCAAAGTATAAAAGCAATATTCTACAAAAGTGATTTTCTGCAAATGAAAATTCTTCTCAGAATTTTTTTTTTCTTTTTTTGTTTTTTCTTTTATTCTGTAAACATTAATTATTCGATTAATGTCTTATCTTCAAATAAAGTATATGTATTCAATAACAGAAACGATGACAACAAAAATGATTTTCTATGAATCATAATTTTTTCTTTTTTAAATCTTTATTATTCAAATCAATATTTTACTTTCAAATTATATTCAATAATACGATATTCTACAAATAAGTATTTTTTCATTTATTTATTTATTTTTTTTTTTTTTTCTAAATCTCTTTATTATTCGAATAATGTTTTTTAACCTAAAAATTGTGTTCTATAACGGGAATGTTATTTTAATCATTTAAAGTGATTATTTACGAATTGGAATTTTTTTCCTTTTTTATATCTTTATTATTCGATTAACGTTTTATTTTGAAGTTGTTGAAAGGTCAAATGTTTTATGTCAAGTTTTTCATTCGCAAGGATTGAATCGCATAATTTGAAGGAAACCTTGACACTTCTCTTACTGCAATCCGAAAATTTCGATGGACAGGAATGGGCGATGCGTCATCGAGTAAAAAAGGAGTACAACGTAGGAACGCATATATGAGGAGAGTAAATGTAGTATCATCGTAACGCTGACATAAATCCTCGGTGTAAGAAACATTGAAGGATATCGTAACACGGAAGGAATTATAACGGAGAGGTCAATTTTTTCGTTTCAGTTTTCTTCTTTTTCTTTTTCTTTTGTTCTCGCATTATCCTTTTCAATCTCTTAAACGTTATTATGACGGCTATTTGTAAAGCCACAGATGCTACGGTATTTAAAGACGATCGTTGGACTGTAAAATAGAATCGATATTGCAAAAGGATAAAACTGGCGATTTGCCAGTTTTATTACGTTTGTCCAGCTGATCTCCATCATTTCCTTGAAATTTATCTTCCGAAGTATTTTCTTCGAAAGAGAGAGAGAGAGAGAGAGAGAGAGAGAGAGAGAGAGAGAATTGGTATTCTGCCAAAAATTCTTAATAAATCGATTAGGTAAAATGGATATATGTCAAATATATTTAATATCAATTACATTGTTCTGTTGGCAGGCATCAACGATCGATGGCCGTCGAAAAGGTGCTTGTCTCTTCTGTCAAGAGTACTTTATGGATTTGTACCTTCTCGCCGAGTTAAAGACGATCTCGTTGAAAGTGACGACCGTCGATATGCAAAAACCACCACCTGATTTTCGTACCAATTTCCAAGCGACTCCACCTCCTATTTTGATCGACAATGGCGATGCCATATTGGAGAACGAAAAGATCGAACGACACATCATGAAGAATATACCCGGTGGACATAATCTTTTCGTACAGGATAAAGAAGTTGCCACTTTAGTAGAGAATTTGTTTAGCGTAAGTTTTTCGCTATAGTTACTTGATTATATACCTATGTACATATTTTTATTCTTATATACAATAATATATTTATAAATCTGATAAAATGATAAAGGATAGATATACATGTGGTACAATAATTTTAATTTTTTGTGTTTCTTTTCTCTCTCTCTTTTTTTTTTTTTTTTTTTTTTTTTTGATATATATACATATAGAAATTGAAATTGCTCCTGCTCAATGCAAAAGACAAGGATAAAGATCCGAAGTCATCCTCTTTGATGGCACACTTACGAAAGATCGACGAACACTTGGGTCGCAAGGGTACGCGCTTTCTCACGGGCGATACGATGTGCTGTTTCGATTGTGAACTCATGCCACGACTTCAACACATCAGGGTCGCTGGGAAATACTTCGCGAATTTTGAAATTCCCGAAAGTCTGGTGCATCTTTGGAGATACATGCACCATATGTACAGGCTCGATGCATTTCTACAAAGTTGTCCGGCCGATCAAGACATCATAAATCATTATAAACTACAACAGGTAAAATTTATATATGAAATTAATTCTTTTTACCGTCTTAGAGACTATATCCTTCCCAGGTTTTTCGAAAAATTTTTAATTATTATTTAAACGCATATAATGACAATGTTATTATTGTAAAATATGTTTATAATAAATGGAACATATTTTTTACGGAATAGAAATATATAGGATTTTATTCAGATTTATCTCAGATGTTATTGTAAAAGTATGTACAATTTATAATTTTTTTTCACACAGAAGAAAAAATTGTCTTTTTTGCCATTAGTTATAAACTTTTTTTCTGTATGAAAAATAATTTTTTTTCTCTCTTTTATGTAAATTTACGTACATTTTACGATAAAATAAAAGAAAAAAAAAAAAAAGAAGAAAAAATCTTTTTTAAGAGAAATATGTTAATTTTAATAGATATCTTCAAAATTGCATGGTTATCAAAATATTTTTGGACGATAACCGAAATACCTATAAAACTATTATAAGATTTAAGATCTTGAATTACAAAAAGTCTTATGTGAATATGTACACTAATATTCTGCACATAGAAACAAACCGTAAAGATTTTTATTTTCTTTTTATTACTATTACTCTTATCAATTATATATTTACGATGTTAATTGTAGAGCATGAAGATGAAAAAGCACGAGGAATTGGAGACGCCAACGTTCACTACCAGCATCCCTATCGAGGTCAATGACGACTAGGCTGGACCTTCGTCATCGAGTCTAGGATTTCTTTTTTTTTTCTTTTCCTTGGATTCGAGACGATATAGTCAACATCATCAACAACATCATCAAAAACAACAATACAGTCCTAATACGATCGACCTATCGCGACAACAAATATTCGATGTAGCGAAGTTTCGATGAACCGTGTTTCGAACTTAAAAATGAATCGTTGGTGTTTTGTCCTTAGAGAAGGGAGAGAGGAATGTGAGAAAGTGGGAAACATTCCATCGAAACTTCCCGTCATTTAAAAAATTAGTGTTGACACGACTAAGTTGATCAATGTAAAAAAAAAATTTTGGAAAGCCTTTGCTACGTTTATATATATATGTATGTTTATATATATATGGCCGAGCCAAATCCAGATTAATTTAACTTTTTTATCACGATACTTTGAATAAGTAAAACAAGTAAAAAAAAAAAAAAAAGAAAAAAAAAGAAAGGAGGAAGAAAACACAGAGAAAAAACTCCACAAGCCCAAGTTTGATTCTTTATTTAAATTTACATACACGTATGTACATACGAGTATAAATTGACGGTGTCGTTTTTCTTTTCCGCTTATTTTTCTTTGATTTTTAATATTACATACGAATAATGTATGTAAACGTTTATCAAGAGAACAACATGATGTTGCGTTGATAATAAATCGGACTTGTCATTTTTCGATGATAGCGATTATTTCTATTTGGTAATAAAACGAAGAAGAGATATTACGAATAAGGATAAGAGTATTTGTTTTTCTCGAAGCAACGAGCATCATGAAAGGAAAGAGGGAAAAAAAGAAAAAGAAATTAAAAAAAAAAAAAGAAAAAAGAGAGAAAGAAAGAAATAAAAAGTAAAAAAGAAAAAATCACGAAGAACACAGGAGAAACGCCGTGCATCGAAGAAGGAAGAAGAATGATCCCATCAAAGTTTATATTATATTTACTTATGGGATTGAAGGTCTTACGTCGGGGCTTAAAAGTTACGTTTTTATGCAAGGGGAGGGAGAGGTGGGGGAAGGAGGGAGGGACACTTCCTCTTCGTTGTGTCCGCATCTTTATTTTATAACACTCCGAACGATAACGTCTAGTCTTAATCCATCCGGAGCACGAGTCTTTTAAAACGAATCTTTATCTAAGGACTTTGTTTGAAAATGTTATTAGACGACTTATCGCATTAGTCAGAACGCTTTGTTTTTAGCTTCTCATAAGCTTTTTCATCATTTAGTGTAATACAAAATCTTGAGAAGGTGTTATGCATGGAATCATTAAGGGGTAAAGGATATTCGTCGTGTAATACAAAGAAGGAATGTACAACATACATATATATATACATACATACATACATACATACATACATACTATACATACATACATACGTACCATACATACATGTATTTCGACTAGCTCGGTATTGCACGGTACATACGTTTCTTCTACGAGTTCTTCGGCACGCGAAATACCTTGTTACGTTTACATTTTCGTTATCCACTTATAAGCGAGCGTACGTAACCGAGAAGATCATAAGTGTCCGATAAGAGCAAAAGTAAAACGATTTTTCCGTTTAGAAAGAATATGGCGGTTTTTCGTCGTACCATTATGCGCGATTTTTGCAAATCTTCCACGTGCTCCTCCGAACGTTTGCAAATTAGTTTGCAAACGTGGATGATTATTATTAATAATAATAATATTGGAAGATGGCAACTGAATCGCGACGTCGTTCGACTTTATTAATAAAACCTGAACGAAGCGAATGCGCGAATAAACGTCTAATTGGATATTTCGTAATAGCGGTTATATTATTATTATTATTATTATTATTATTATTATTATTATTATTATTATTATTATAATTATTATTATTATCATTAATAATAATATTATATTATTATATTATTAATTATTATTATTGCGATAATTATTATTACAATTGTCATTATTCTTTTGACTTTATATTTGAGAAGTGAATATATATATATATATACCTGTGTTTTTCCAGTAAATTTAAGCCGTTACTCCGATGGAAACATTTTCCCGCAATCTTTCTTCGAGAAATAAAGATCCGATCGGTACATTAGCGAGTGACAAGTTTGAATAGAACGACGAAAGAGGGCATTCGTGATGCATCGGTAAAGAACTTTCTTCGCTGTCTCTCTCTCTCTCTCTCTCTCTCTCTCTCTCTCTCTCTCTCTCTCTCTCTCTCTCTCTCTCTCTCTCTCTCTCTCTCTCTCTCTCTCTCTCTCTCTCTCTCTCTTTCTCTGACCGTGGCGGTGCGGAAGACAAATGAATAAAAAAAGACCGAACGATCTTATCCAAAAGTCAGAAAGGTATCGCAACGTGTTTCCGATGTGTGTTTAAAATAGCCATGCGACTTCCCCTTCCTCATGGTAGTTATCGAGGGAGGAGCAAGCGACTCTGGCGAGACCTTTCTCTCTTCCCATTCATAAATAGTGAGAGAGAGGCACTCGCTGCGGTCCGCCGGCGGCATAACGACTACGCGAGTCGTAAGAGCGCATGTTGCATAGATGTAAAATCACATAGAGTGAAAAGGAACGAATGAGAGAAAGAAAAAGAAGGAAAGAAAGGGAGAGAGAGAGAGAGAGAGAGAGAGAGAGAACGGTAGTATGCGCGATCGGATTACGGGCGGGTGGGTGTGCGCGCGCGCGCGCTCACTCGCTCGCTCGCCGGTTGCTCGCTAGAATCGCGCGGTAGACGTTCTGCTAGGTGGGGGGCAGTGGACAGCTGATCGCTGCCTTCGACGGACGGTCGTTCTCGCGTCGCTCTGATTTCAAGAAAACGCGAGAGAAAGAGACAGAGAAAAAGAGTGAAAAAGGGATAACGCGCGCGCGCGCGCTTCCGGTTAGTGTGCAACTCGAGATAATAATTAGGCGAAGAGATTCATAAAGGAGAAAATAAGATAAAAAACGGAAGATAAGGAAAAGAGAAAAGAAATAGAGCATACGAGGGAAAACGAGTGAACACGAGGCGCACTCTTGAGAGGAACAGAGAAAAAACATAGAAAGAGATAGAGAAAGAGAGAGAGAGGGAGAGAGGAGGAGGAAAAGAGTGTTCTGACGAGTGGGCGCGCGCGCGCGCGCCTTCGGACGGACAAGTGACACCGCGCTGCGCGTTACGAATATACACATGAATACGTACTCCTGAGAAAAGAAATATCTTAATCGACGTTTGAAAAGAGCCCGGGAGCGCGATCGACCGATCAAACCGTTTTCAACGACTTGTTCGCGTATATTTAACCTTTCGACACAACGACTTCTTTCCTTCTCCAATGGCCGCCGTCCGGTGAGTTGTTTTTTTTTTGTTTCTTTCTTCGTTCATTCCTGTCCTTTCTCTCTCTTTCTCTCTCTTTCTCTTGTCTCTCTCTCTCTTTCTTTTTCTCTCTTTCTTTCTCTCTCGTTATTCTCTCCTCTAAACATGGAAAACGGGCAACGAGGCAACGAGGCGCGCTCGCACTCGCGTGTATGTATGCGCGCGCACGCCTTTGCATCTGCGTCTCCTGTAGGACGTGAGAGAGTGAGAGTGAGAGTGAGAATGGTGGGGGGAGCGGTGAGGTGGGACGAGAGTCATTTCTAAAAGCGGCCTCGGCCTCCGGTCTCGCTTCTTCGCTTCTTCTTCGGCTCTTCGAAGAGCCGAAAGCCGCGTACTTCGTTTCTCTCTCTACGTCCCTGACGCGGCCGCCACTGTCGAGTGAGAGTGAGTGAGCTAACGAGCTAACGAAGAGAGAGAGAGAGAGAGAGTAAGAAAGAAAGATAGAGCGAGGGAGGAAGAGTTGGGGAGGGTGATTAGAGGGAAAGGAAGCGCTCTTTGACTTTTATTCGCTGTCTTCTTTGCGCGCGCGCTCTCCACGCGAAAATACACTCGCGTGGCGCTGCGCGGAATGCGCGTTGTACGTTCTCTACTATCTACGATGCAACGACGCGTATTTGTCTTCCAAGAAATTTTTCTTTTTTTCTTTTTTTTTTTCCTTTTTCCTTCCCTTTGATCATCTCTAACTAATAAAAATCCCACATCTATGCTGTTATTATTTTTCTACGGATATCTTTGATTTTATTCGATAGCGAGTTTATTTTTCTTTAAAATCGATAATGAAAATTATTCGTGTATTGATTATTATCGAAAATTGAATTTTTTTCAATGAATGAAATATATATGTAGTACATATATGTGTATGTATATATATATATATATATATATGTATTCGATGTGTAAGCATGTCGTTCGTAATATCATTGTCGTTGTTGACGTTCGATTGAAACCATTAGAAACAAATTTGAAAAAAAGTATGATACGTACACTTTGATTCTCGTCCGAAAGAAGGAAAAGTATTTATTTAAAAGTAATTAATTGTTAGTTATTGGATATGGACGGTAACCGCTATTTTTATTATTTAAAAATTATACAAAAGATAATCTAGAAATAATAAATAATTCATGGAAAGTAATACGCGCAAAACATGTACGTTTAAGTCATTAGTAATTATATTAAACGAAATTAAATTTTTATCACTTATGATAATTTGACAGTCTCGATATTGATCGATTTAGAAATTGTCCACGTGGATCAAGAAACACGTTCCTTTCAGTGGACAACTTGCTTGTTTTCACAGCGAAATCATTCGTAGCGGTGGTGGGAGAAGGGTGGTAGGGAGAAGGTGGTGTAGGAGGTTTACATGCAGAGGAAGAAATCATCTTGATTATGCAATAGTCGACACAAACGCGACCATCCAGTTGTGATAAACGTTCTGCACGAAACTTCGAAACATATCATTTCAATTTGTCGGCACGTCGTTAAATAATACAGATGTGTATATATAAATACATACATGTAGTTCTATTTAATTCGATTTAATTGATATCAATATAAACCGCTGCACATTCGCAATATCCAATAAGAGAGGAACGATTTGCGTGTTTTCTTTTTTTGTTCTTCTTCTTTTTTGCTATAAAAAAGATATTAAAAACACGTTTTTCACATTCGAACGTTTATTTTTTAACGCAAAACTCGGCCTACATACTTGCATATATCGTAGTTCTGTTTAACGTTATAGATCTTCGTCAATTACTTCTCTTTTCTCTTATTTTCATTCGATGCTTTACAAAATGCAGGCTATACCATTTACCCTCTTTCAATCGCCGCATTCATCTTTCCAACCCCACGATTATATGTAAATTCGCTATGAAAAAAGCCAAAAAGAAGTTGTATCGAAAGTTGTTTTAACTCTCTCGAAGGAAATTATTCTGCTTGAAAAAAATTAAAAAAATTTTTAAAGATAGAAGCGAGGTATAAAAAAAGACTAAAAAAAAAAGGAAGAGATAATTTTAATCGCGAATTTTTGTAGATACAAGTGCGACGTAAAAGAAAATTAAAAAAATGGAACAGCTTTAATGACAAATTGTTGGAGATAGAAATGCGGTGTAAAAAAAAATACTAAAAAAAGAAAGAGATAATTTTAATCACAAATTTTTGGAGGTACAAGTGCGATGTAAAAAAAAAAGAAATTAAAAGAAGGAACAGACAGTTTTAATCACAAATTGTTGGAGATAGAAGCGCGGTGTAAAAAACAAAATACTAAAAAAAGAAAGAGATAGTTTTAATCATAATAATGCGTTCTCGCGTATCGCCTGAAACTTGAAATGCAACGAAATTTCGATAACGAATCTATAAAGAAGTATCTCGTGTTTCGATATCTCGCTTTGGAACAATGAAACAAATTTTTATTTAATTCGAAATGAAATTTATTTTCCATAGTTTTTGTATCGACAGAAATAATAGATTCGTAAGTTTCCCTTTTTCTCTCTCTCTCTCTCTCTCTTTTTTTTCTCTCTCTCTCTCTCTTTCTCTTTCTCTCTCTTAGTTTTTTCTTCCCCCAACAAAGGAATGAAAAAAATGCATGAAAACGCTCATGGAAGTCCCTTTTCCTCGTGTTTCTGGTCGTAGACGAAAACAGCAGCTCTGTGTGTCTCCTCATGACACAAATATCTTCTCGCCAAGCTGGAATTTCGCTTTTCCTTTTTCACCGACTCGGTGAAATGCATTTTCGTTTTTCCCCTCTTCTTCTCTCGTCCCACGTCCCCTCATCACAGACCAGGCCCAACCCCTTACTCACCCTATCCCGCATCTTAATCGCTTCTCTTAAAACCTTTACCTCTAACCAACAGATGCGCTTCAATTTCTTTCGAATATATTGTATCGGATCATCATTTTCTTCTTTTCTTTTTCTTTTTTATATTTATTTATTTATTTATTTGTTTATTTATTTATTTGTTTATTTATTTTTGATTGTTGTTATTGTTGTTGTTATTGTTATTGTCATTGTTACTGTTATGTTGTTGTTTTATTATTATTGGTTGTCGTCATAGTGATACATATTAAATCAACGGAATATTTGTTTACGTCAGTATCTCGATATTACATTATAACAAACGTCCCTTTGTTCTTTCTCCGTATATATTCACATTAGAAATAATTTCTATGTAAGAACACGCCCGTATATTTTTGTCGATAAAATATATTATATCGTTTGGAACGATATTTGGCATATACCCCCGTTAACTTTGTGACCGCGCGACGACATAGCTATACGTAGATTCTACGCCAGTGAAAAACTAAACTTTGGCACGCACGCCGTCGTTCGCTTGGCTTAGCGCGAGCGAAGCGATAGCTCCCTACAAAACGAATTCGAAACTTACTTACCACCTTCGCTACGAATGTCTGCCCACACAAATTTATTTGTATTTCGGTCATTTACGTATAGACGCTCTTCGAAAGTCGCGAGAAAGCATCGACAAGTATTTCTCGTCTATCTTACCGTGCTTATCTGTACGCATCTATCGAAGATCGTATTTCCATATAACTGTCATACCGATAATTTAATAATTAATTTAATTAAAATAAAATCTAATTGTGCAATTTAACCGCGATCTCGTCGATCTTGAATTCGGGGAAGAGAATTATTTTGAAAAGGAACGTCTGTGTATTTCCGAGAGTCATCACTCGTACGTACAATACATTTAAGAAATATTATTTGTTGTTTGTTCGTTGAGAGAAAAAAGAGAAAGGAATAGAGAGAAAGAGAGAGAGAGAGAGAGAGAGAGAGAGAGAGAGAGAGAGAGAGAAAGAAAGAGAGAGAAAGAAAGAGATAGAAAGAAGAAACGTCAACAAAAACCTTCCTCTTCGTTCTATCGTGTGACACGGTGTATGAGGTAAAGAAAAAAAAAATAAATAAAAAAGAAAGAACAAAAATAATTCTCTTTGTCCGCACACACAAACACACACGCACATACACACTTACGGCCGGATAGCAGAGCATATAACGATGGAAGCTCAGATATGTAAGTACATACATATGAAAGAAAGCGATCGATCCGATGTCTTTCGGAGAGATAAATTGTTGATCGTGCTGATCTTGCCTATCAATGATTCTCGATCGTACGGTGGAAGTCGACAATGCCAGATTTTTCTTGAAAAAATAATTCAAACGAACATATATATATATATATATATATATATATATATATATATATTACTATATGTAATATACATATATACTATACATATATATATATTACTATATATAATATACACATATATTACTATATGTGATAATTTTCGTTTCATATACAATTACTTAGACATAAGAATCGATTTAAATAATAAATTTAAAAAAAAGAAAAAAAAGATTTATCAAGTCTCTACGAAATAGGACGATTTAAAGAAGGGCTGAAAGCAAAAGATAGAAAGAGAGAGAGATAGAGAGAGAAAGAGATTGGCGGGAACGCGCATGCGCGGAAGGATGCGTGGGCGAGTGAAGGCGCGTGCAACGCCACGACAGTGCCGGCTAATTATGTGGCACACCTACGTAGTGTGAGCACGCGCGCGCGTGTTCAGCACAGGTGTCCACTGATTCCTTACACGTTGCCAATTTCACGATCTACTTTATTTAGAAAATCAACAACAACGTACGGTTTTTAAACGATGAAACGTCGATATTTTTATTTTGCAGCAGGAATATCATCCATTATTCTTTTTGAATTTAATCGTAATTTTTATGGATTTTATCGTCGAACAAATTTTCAGGAAACTCGTCCCAAATAAAAAGTGTCCGTTCGATATAATATAAATACGTGCGAGAATTAAGCTTCCCGGAATAATTTCTTTGCAACGTGGCCAAAAACAGGTACGACAGATATCAATATTTAACGCTAATTTGTATAGCTAACGGATGTTGTTTAAATATTTTCATTTCGTAATAATCTGTCGGCCAATATTAACTCTATTAAAGGTGAACGGTTAATGATGTTAATGGATAACTTAAGAAAAAAACCCTCTTTATTTCTGAAACGTTAGGTCGTTCAATTTGAAAAGGTGAACGTTCGTTTTAGTATTTATTTGATGATAATTTAGATTTGATCTATGAATATATTATGTAATCAATTTTTGTGGTTAATTTTAAAGATAGTTCTAATAAATAAAAATTTAATCTGAAAGAGAGAATGTGTAAGAAGGAAGAGAAATGAGACATGGATAACAAGAGATCCTGGCACCTATAGGTAATCCCTGCCAAGAGGATGGGGGCCCACGATGGGGGAGTGCCACTGCTCTAACATCGCTATCATGCAGCTGTTCCACGAGCTGAAGCAGCAGTTCCCTGCGCTCCCTGATTACGTCGTCTCCCAGTGCATCGCACAGGTACAGCTAACATTTATCCAGATCTTTTTTTGAAAACCTTAAGTACAAGTCAATCTTTTAACTACAATTTCCTAATCCATCTTGATTATTATAATTTGTATGAATATAATCTTTAATCTATAATCTTTTTCTATTTTTTTCATTCCTTTTTCCAGTTATCCTACTAAATCTCTTTTCAATATAATATTTGTGTTGTTTTGTGAATTTTTATCTTTTGATCAAATTATTTAATCCAAAAATTAAATAACCGATATATATTTATATATAATATACTTGATCGATTCGAATAAACTATAACAAATTTCATACGCATTCGATATTAAATGTGCGAACGTTTATCCATTACCACTTCACTCCTCGCACATTATCATACTCATTTGCACGTAGCGTGGAACTTGTGTGGGCTCGAGATGTATTGCTTTCTATAATCTCTCGCGAGATTTATTATTGATAAAATATATGAGCAGTAAATTATAAGATAAATTGGATGGACCGCTCGATTTTAACGAAGAAAGAATCACGCATGAACAGAGAAAAAAGCTGGCTGATTCAGATGCGTGTGCGTTGCAGAACAGCCACGACAAGGAGATATGTGCAAGAAGTCTACGAGCAACCCAAGAATCGCGTCCAATACCGGGCGCTTTTCCACTGCCCCCACCTGCTGCTGCTGTTGCTGCTCAACATCATCATCAATCGCATCAGCAGCAGCAACAGCAGCATTATCAGCAACAACAGCAACAACAACAGCGTTGCTGCGCAATGAATCACCAATCATTGCAACGCATTACGTCGAATGGCAACGGTTCGCGACCTCCTAGGCCAGCCTCATTGGACATCGGCGTGGCGCGACGTTATCCTATTGGCTGTTCACGTACCGCGGCATCACCATCCGTAACTACGAACGAACCACTTGCACCCTCATCCGCACCTGCGGCTTGCAAAGCGCGCGGTTTTTTCGATGACGTCCCGTCCGCAAACACCAATGGCAACAATTGCTCAAGCAGCAATGTTGCTCCTGGATTCGAACTCAATGTTAATGTCGCCTGCAGTCCTGCGGGCAACCGCGGTACGATGTGACCACCACATATCTGCCATATCTAAATGTTATATATACATACGTAGTTTATTTCTTTTTCTCAAATTTGATCAATATTCTTTTGTTTTTCTCAAGTCTAACAGCAAAAGTATAATAACAATCAAAATGATTGAATATTATTTTTGATCGCACGCGCGAACGCGATGCGAAACTGTTTTGTCAATGATGATAACTAACACACGATCGTAACAATCGATTACACATGAGGTTTGAAATTAACCGTCGACTTCTTCCGAATATCGATCGAGAATGATACTACTTAAACATATCGTTTTATTTCCAAAAAAATAAGAAAGCAGTCAAACAGGAGCATATAATTAATAACAATTGAGAGTAACAGTTAGGGAATTAAAGTTTGGACACTATTCAAAAATCGATCCTTGGTTCTTCTGTTTGCCCACACCTTCCACGCAAACATTTCTCTTTTCATTTTTTATTCATCGTTCTATTTTTCTTTTTTTCATTTTGACTTTTTCCGATAAGTTTACTTTTTGTTTTTATTTTTATTTTTCACTATTTTCATTGAAATTTATTTCAAATAATTTTCTTTATTTCGTTTTTTATATTCTTTTTCTCTTTGGCACGGTAAACGCCAAGTATTCCTTTTCTCTCCATAGTTCCTTCTTCGATCAATCTCAGTCATGCCGTTTATCATCGTTCAAGGTAAAACATAATAAATTCATTTTTTGTAATCTATGCAATCCGCAGACTTCCGAACGGTGCCGACAATCGGTACATGTAAACGAAGCGATCTCGTTGTCGAACCCCGACCCCATTATGCGGAACCTCAGTTGGCTGTAGGAAAAAACGCTGGACAATTTGATCACGCGCGAAGTTATACATCGGTTAGCTTGACACTGAGGCCACCATCATCAGAACCACAAGCACCAATCGACATCAGGTCGCAAGGCTCGAGTTTAACATATTCGACCTCGTCTTTGGACCCACGAGGATTTCAAAGCCGCTTGCAAATTAGCATCGGCCCGGGAAGCGTTGGCAGCGTGGCTGCTGCAAGAATCAGACCACCAATGGGTCCGGCCAGACCTAACAGCCTGCTTCCCCCCGCTCAAATTAGTCCGCAGAGGCCTCCAGGTACATAATCATTTTTTATTACAAACCCTTCGAGTTACTTCAATAAAGCAAGGATCGTTCGAACAAC